AAAAAAAAAAAAAAAATTGAACCCAGTGCCTCACACATACTAGACAAGCGCTCTACCACTGAGCCACAAACTCCACCATGATTTTTAAGATATAGAAACATTTTGGTTTTATATTAGTACACTAAATTTTGACCACAGAAAACCCCTTAAATTATTTTAGATATGTTAATTGTAGCCTACTTAATAACACACAGAATTTTTCTAAGATTTAACTTCTACAAACTTTTTGAAACGATATTTTACAACTTGTTTACCTCCTTACTTTTGTCCTGTTTTCTTCTTCTTCTTTTTTTCCCCCATCTTGAACTTTAGGTAAAAAAATATTACTTTATTATACAAAATGCTTTTTCACCCAGAAATATCTCCCTTTATTTTTTTCTTACCAAAAAATATCCTTATAATTTGTGTATGTGTGTTATCTCAAGATGGAACCCTAGGGGTGCTCTACCACTGAGCTACATCCCTAGCCCTTCTTATTTTGAGTCAGGGTCTTTCTAAATTGCCCAGGTTGGCCTCAAACTTTCAATCCTCCTGCCTTAGCCTCCCAAGTAACTGGGATTACAGGTGTTCACCACTATGCCCAGTTTGTACCTATAATTTTTGTATAAATATATTTTTAATATACCAACAACTTAAAAAAACATAATTAATAGGGCTGGAGCTGGGGCTCAGTGGTAGAGCGCTTGCCTTGCACATGTGAGGCACTGGGTTCAATTCTCAACACCACATAAAAATAAATAAATAAAATAAAGGTATTGTGTCCATCTGCAAYTAAAAAATATATATATTTAAAAAACCGCAGTTAATAGATCCAAAAATAAATTTTTTAAWTTTTTTTTTTACAAAATCCAAGAATATTAGAATTGTTGGGCTTGGTAGCACAYGCCTATAATACCAGTGGTTCAGGAATCTGAGGCAGGAGGATCACAGGTTCAAAGCCAGCCTCAGCAAAAGCGAGGCATTAAGCAACTTAGTGATAAGCAACTCAGTGATACCCTGTCTCTAAATAAAATACAAAATAGGGCTGGGGATGTGGCTCAGTGGTTGAGTGCCCCTGAGTTCAACCCCT